CTTCCGAAAAAAAAAGTGTTCCTTGGACGCGGAAGAGTTTTTCCGGGATACAAAAGTCTGCAGTCTAGCTGTACCCTGAGAGAACCTGGGAAGAATTAAGCCAAAAGGTGGCTTGGCAGGAGAGGGAGAAGGCAAGACACCATGAACTGGCTGGATTGGACTAGAACTAGTCAGCGCCCCCAGAGCGGCAGGTTCCCCCTCTCCAAAAATCCACACGTGGGATTGACTGCACCATGCCTCTGATGACAATGCCGAATAGTTCCCCACCCCAGTAAGCCTGCGCATCGTGCCTGTGGTTCCTGAGGATCAGGAAATGCCCATTCTGGGGGCAAAACTGAAAGGCAGAGCCTTGGCCTTAGGCAGTAAGATGCCTGGTGCTGATGCTTAGCCGTGGGAAATGGAAAAGTTTGGTTTTCAAGCCATTTCAGGTGACAGCTGCAACGTCCAGGGTGCAATGTAGGTCCCATAAGAGAGGGGCGGGGCTCAGTTCAGTCCCCAAATCTCCTGTGCAGACAAAAGAGGCCAAGATGTCCCCACTGTGATTCCACCAATCACTGGAGGAACAAATGCCCAGCGCTGGAGGGGAGTGAACAGCAAGGAACACGTGGGAATGCTGCTCCCAGACCGTCGCTCTCTCTCACCGAGCCGGCTAATTCAAAGCCAGGCAGCACACACATGAAGCTTGTCGCGGGAATGGCCAAGACATCCCTGCATGGAGGGATATTGGGGCAGAAATGCTGTAGTTTGAAGGGACTTGCTTAAGGGGAAGATCTCCTCCTTGGGGCTGAATGAGATTTGGTTGGTGGCCATAAGATCCTTGCACCCTTGGCCAGGTTACAGGTGCGGACAGGATAAAACAGCGCTCATTTAACTGTTGCTACTGTTACTTTGCACCTTTTATTTTGGGAGAGGACTTTTTTGAAGTGGCCAAGTCCATCCCAGGAATTGTTAGCAACAAGAAGGACCCTTGAGGGGTTGGACTCGCTGACCTCCTGAGGTCTCTTCCAACTCTACGATTCGATGACTGAGTTGAAATCCCAGAGGGAGAGGGGAAACCCTGGGGCTAGAGAGGAAATAAGAGATGGCCTCTTTAATTCTGAAGAAGCTGTAGACCTGGGCTAGAGTGAAGATCAACGCGGAGTTGAAACGTTTTGCTTTGGGGGGAGAGGGCCTGGCAAGCCACATTGCATCATGATGCTTTTCATCACCGCGCCTTTGTGTCGTCACCTGTCCGTATTTCACTGTTACGTCCAGATGTCGCTACAGTGTGATACATACAATCGGAGCAGGACAGTGGAGAGGGGAAACACCCTGGCTAAGTGCAGTTGCTAGGCAACTGAACCCCCATTGTATGGTGACTGGAGGTGAGCTGCACCTCGGCATCTCTGTGTTCTCATTAGCATGAGTGTACCTTATACTTCGAAATAAATTAACAGCCATATTTTATATAACAAACTCCCACCAATGTTTAAAGCTTTGAGGAGCTGGTGATCCAACTAGAGTAGATAAAATAATTAATACATAAAATCTACCATGACACAAATTCTCCTGCACCCTCCCCCGCCCCCCTATACCTTGTGTGCCCCAGGGGTATGCATGCCATAGTTTGAGAATCCCTGCCGGAGCGGTGATTTATTAAAGGGGATACTCTATAGCAGTGATTCCCAACCTTTTTCTCATGGAGGAGCCCCTAAAATAATTTTTCATATCCCGAGGAACCCCCACCTATGAAAATTGTTTGCTAGGCCAGAAAAAGTTGACAGCGGGGAGCACAATTCAATTACTGCTAAATTTTTTCAATAAAATGTATTTGTAAAGAGCTGGGGTGTCTGTGTGTGTGTGTGTGTGTGTGTGAGAGAGAGAGAGAGAGAGAGAGAGAGAGCTTACACTGTAAGAAAAAAAATTGGAGTATTTTTCCTGTCTGTTTTTGTATTATCTAATCTTTTTTTTCAAATAGCAGATATCCTCCCTCTCCGGCCTCAACATCCTCCCCCTCCGGCCTCTCTCTCTCTTTCTCTTCTCCTCCCTCTCCGGCCTCTCTCTCTCTTTCTCTTCTCCTCCCTCTCCTGCCTCTCACTCGCAGAGCCCAAATGGCAGCTTGCTCCCGCACAGCAGCCCAGCTGAGCAGCGCAGAAGTCAGCCAAGCTCCAGGGCGGGAGGCGAAGGCCATGACAAAGGCTCCAGGCCCCCCCAGCTGAGCAGCGCAGAAGCCAGCCAAGCGCCAGGGCGGGAGGTGAAGGGCATGACAGATGCTCCAGGCCCCGCCCAGCATTATTTATTCCACGATTTCTTGCGGAACCCCCGACGATGGTCCACGGAACCTTGGCTGGGAAACACTGCTCTATAGCCAGGAGAAGATAGAAGCTAACAAAGGGCAGGTAGGAGCTGAAGAGAAACCATCAAATGAGAGAGAGTCTCGTTCAGTTACACATATGAAGGCAGACAGCTAAATAGTGACACCGTTTATGTGCATGTTTGTGCAAACTCTAGAAATCTAAATGCTAAGATGAGTGAACCTGAGTGCCCAGTATTGCAGGAAGATATTGATATAAAGGGCATCTGTCAAGTGGCCAGCTCAGTACTGCCTCCTTGTGTCTGGCCCTGGCATAGCAGCTCTCTCTGTCCTGGGGGCAGCAGCCACCTCTGTGGTGGAGAGTCCCCTCCTGTAACTTGGCCCTCCGGCTAGGGCCCATCCATGTCTCTCGCCCTCCAGCATCGTTCTTAAGCACAAAGGGCTTGTCTACACTATGGAGAAGATCGACCCTCCGGAGATCCATCTTCTAGCGTTCAATTTAGCAGGTCTAGTGCAGACCCCCCAAGTCACACACTGAGGGCAGCCCCCACTGGCGCTGTGTACTCCTCGTTCTGTGAGGAGTACGGGAAGCCAACGGGAGCATGTGGCCCCGTCGGCCTCTCGCAGTGAAGACTCCACAGTGGCTCGGCTTAAGGTAAACCGAATCCTGTTACGCATTTTGCATCACTGGATGGCGGAGCTTAAGCCGACCTGCCTGGTCTAGTGTAGACCAGGCCAAACTAGCTGAGTTAGTTAATGTGGGGGGGAGATAGAAACTGCAAGAAAAAGTATCAGAGGCAGGTCCTCCCTTTCCTGAGAGAACCTTGGGGCAGTTGTGGTGTGTGTGTTGTTATCTGATGAAAATATTAATCATCTGATTAAAATGTGGCACATAGCCAGAAAGGGTTAACCGGCTCAGAGGTTGACTGATCCAGGGTCAACCTGCAAGATGCAAAATGATAAATGGGCTGCCAAGCTAGGTGAGAGTAGAGTAGCTATTGTTCTCTACATCATCAAAAGAAAAGCTTTCTATTGAGCCTCTTCCAGTCTTTTCTTTAGGAAAGGAAGGAGAAATGTCTAACACTAATTCCTGTGGCACACTGTGTGCTTTGAATTGAGAAAAACAGAATGTGGGCTTCTCTGTACCACGGCTTGCTCTATGCGTCGGCGTGGGCCTTCAGAGAGTCCGCAAAGCAGTGCATTCTTCATGCAGGGATTGCTCCAAAAGTAACATGATAGCCAAGCCTGCTCCCCTTGAAATTACTCAGCAAACTGGCCTGGTGAGAGCCGTCGAATGTTACATGTTTGTTTAGGGTCTTGTGGTATGAACAGACAGTCCTGGCTGGTTACTATAGCGTTGATTCCAGATCAGAAGGGAAGACTAACATTGGTGATGAAACTTGACCAAAGCAGTAGTATTGTTCATAGGTCTCTTAGAACGTGGGGGCAAATTGTATGTAAACTAATGGAAGAATTACCTGCTGCTAATTGCCAGGAGGTTTGGGAGATGGGAGGTTTCCTCAAAAGCCAAGAGACTGCTGCAAAGGTATAAAGTCCCTTTGGGCAGAGTCCTTTTTCCTCTCCTATGATGCTCTGTGCGGTGTGGGGGGGCGAGCTGCAAGTCCTAAGGGGTGAGATCTTAAGAGATCCTGGGTCCCTTACAAAGAACTTTGGCTTAATAACCCTGGACTGAGCTGAAAAACGTCCATCTGCAACTTCCGGAACCCCATCTCTATTATGTAACTGAACCTCCAGAACTGAAGGCATGCCTGGAAGTATACTGATCTTTTCTTGCTTTCTCTTTTCTTTTCCAATACATTTCAGTCTCGTTCGATGCTTGTAGCCAGCTCTTGCTTTTTGGGATATGGGCTGAAATGCTGATTGCCTTGAAGGGCACTTAGCAACCTGAACTGTGACTCACTGGGGGGTTGGGTTGGGTGTGGGGTACCTCCGGGGAAGGTTTGTTGTGCAGACGCGCGTTGGTCCAGGTAACGAGAGTCCAACTGCTCTCCTTACATAAAACTGTTCATAAAAATCAGCAAAGGTTAAAGACCAAAGGATCGGATCAGTCTAAGCCAGGCCTGGGGAACCTTTTGTGGGTCAGGGGCTGCATACAAGTGAGAGAGGAAAAAAACCCAACAACCCTACTCCTCACCAGCATGGGCTCCCTAACGCTGGGGGGAGCCCTGAGCCTCAGGGACTGGATCCAGGCAAGTCGGGGGCTGCATCTGGCCCCCTGGCCTTTGCTTTCCCACCCCTGGTCTAAACAGAGACACTCTGTTGTGCTGGAAATGGAGCCTATTTGCTGAACAGAGTAATGGGCTGTTCCACCAGCCCCCTTGGGGCTCCCTCCTCCCGTTGGGGGAGAGATGAAATCGGGGGCACAGACGGATTGAAAGGAGTGAGCACGGCCAGCCTAGCGCCAACCCCAGAGTCGTCTTGGATCCGTCGTGACACAACAGCCGCTTTTAGAGTCCTGGTCCAGCGGGGTGTCCTGAACAGACCCGGCCAGCGTGAGGGACCCAGGTGACTCCGCAAGGAATGTGAACACGGTCTGTTCCCGCTCTCGTACCTCCCTCCTGACTCCTCTTCCTGCCTGGTTCCGCCACGCCCCGGACACGAGGGCCAAACGGCAGAAGGCACTTTGGAATCCTAGTGCACTAGAACTGGGAGCGACCTCAGGAAGTCAGCAAGTCCCGTCCCCTCATGGCAGGACCAAGCACCATCTAGAGCATCCCTGACAGGTGTCTGTCCAACCTGCTCTCAAACATCTCCAGGGATGGAGATTCCACAGCCTCCCTCGGCAACTCATTCCAGTGTTTCACCACCCTGACAGGTAGGAAGTTTTTCCTAATGTCCAGCCTTGCTGCAATGTAAGCCCCTTGTTTCTTGTCCTATCCTTGGAGGCCAAGGAGAACAATTTTTCTTCCCTGTCCTTGTAACAGAATAGTGATAGAAATGGAGCTGTGTTAGTCTGGTGTAGCTGAAACAAAAAACAGGACTATGTAGCACTTGAAAGACTAACAAGATGGTTTATTAGATGATAAGCTTTCGTGGGCCAGACCCACTTCCTCAGATCAAATAGTGGAAGAAAATTGTCACAACCATATATACCAAAGGATACAATTTTAAAAAAATGAACACACATGAAAAGGACAAATCAAATTTCAGAACAGAAGGGGGATTGGGGGGGAAGGTAAATGTCTGTGAGCTAATGATATTAGAGGTGATAATTGGGGAAGCTATCTTTGTAATGGGTAAGATAATTAATGTCTTTGTTTAAACTTAGGTGTAAAGTGTTGAATTTAAGTATGAATGACATTTCAGAGGATTCTCTTTCAAGTGTGGTCTGAAAAGGTCTTTGAAGCAGGATGCAGGTAATCAAGTCGTCGAGACAATGTCCTCTCTGGTTGAAATGGCAAGAAACTGTTTTTTCTTTGTGATCCTGTCTAATGTCTGTTTTGTGGGCGTTGATCCTTTGGCGAAGTGTCTGAGACGTTTGTCCAATGTACAAACCAGATGGACACTTTTGGCATATGATAGCATAAATTATATTTCTGGATGCGCAGGAATATGTGTTCTTGATCTTATAACTCACTTGGTTAGGTCCAATAATGGTATCAGCAGAGTAAATATGTGGACAAAACTGGCAACGGGGTTTGTTGCAAGGGAAGGTACCAGGGTTGGTATTAGTGTGGTATGTCCCATGGTTGTTGGTAAGAATCATCTTGCGGTTAGGTGGTTGTCTATAGGAGACTATGGGTCTGTCTCCCAGAGCCTCTTGGAGTTTAGTATCCTGTTCCAGTATAGGCTGTAGTTTATTGATAATGTGTTGGACAGGTTTAAGTTGTGGGTTGTAGGTGATGACAAGAGCTGTTCTATTGTTGGTTTTCTTGGGTCTGTCTTGAAGTAGCTGGTTTCTAGGTATTCGTCTGGCTCTTTCAAATGTAACTTGTAACAAGTTACTGAGGGTGGTTTGCTGGTGCAGCCTGATACAGCCTCAGTGTGAGGCACAAGGATCTCAGTCCCCTGGGAGTGGCACGGCCGAGTTTCCTCCACCTGGGCATGGCGAAGGGGCTGTCGTCTGGCTGCTAGTGGCACCACATGCTCACCAGGGTGTACCGGATGACAGTCCCCCTGGGGATGGCTGTGGTGGCCTGGCATTTCTCTGTGCCCAGCCAGCTCTGCACACCCGAGGTGACGCTACACTCCGCCCAGCGTCAGGCGCTCGTGAGGCTCCAGAGTGGCGTGGAAGACGGGCGCCTGCCGACGTGCACCCGCTCCAGGCTGGGGTCCGCACAGAGATGTGAAGCAGATGGAGCTGCGGCCCCTCCTTGCCGACCCAAACGTCTCACCCTGATCTCAGCAACCCCCAGCAACTCGGCCCGAGGCCTGGGGTCAACAGGGCGGCCACCCCACCTGACAGGGTGTGACGACGTGGCTGGAATACACCCTGGCTCCCCTTTCCAGCCGGCTTTGGTGGTCAGGCCAGTGTGAGTCTCCCACAGGAAGGCCCAAGCGCCTGACCACCTGCAGAGCCCCTGGTTCCTGTGAAGACTCCCCTACCGCCCCCGAGTGAGGTGAAGGGGTGGGTCTCGTTGGTGAGGGACTGAGGTTCCTCCTGCTTGGGAGCACTAGCCTCCCCTGCGGAGCCACCCCCTCCATGGACAATCCCAAAGGTCGTTGGGGACTCACAGACGCTGCCGGCCTGCTGGGAGGCTGCGGTACCCGGCTCCCCTGGCCAGCGCGCGAGGCCTGGAGGATGAACTCAAACTCCTGCCAATCCTGGGGAGCGAGCCGCAGCGTCCCTCTGGCTCCAGGGAGGGCTGCCAGGCACTGGCACAGCCCAAACGGCAGCGTGTCAGCGGCCCACGAGCGCTGCAGACTCAGCCGAGCCCACGGACAGCTGGATTCACTCGGGGTCAAGCAGCCTTTGGGCGGGGACACGAGGGCCCCTCCTGCGAGGGTAGCAGTGCCCCCCGCGTGGCCGTGTCCGGCTCCGCCTCTGCAGCGCGGATCAGCCGTGGAGCCGGAGGGAGAACAGCTGCCCCAGGCTGAGCCGGGAAAGGAATTACCAGTCCTGCC